CCCAGCAGAAAGTTTCTTGGTTGTTTGTCCCTCCTTCCAGGGACCGCTTTGTTTTCCCCACAGTGAACGACGTATGATGGGATTGTTGCTTAAAGCAGAACTTCTCCCATTAAGAACACAGAGTCCACAGAGTCCTTATTTACCCTTTTGTGTAGAGGGATGTTCTGGAGCAGGAGTGCAGCATTGCTTAGTGGCCAGCTTTTTCACTGCTCTTCGTGTCCTCTTTGTATGCTTTTCTTCTCCTTAGCTTCAAATGCAGGAACCTGGAGTAAAGCAATGATGTCTGAGCATGGGAAGAGGTGAGACCTTTGTCAGCCTTCTGTAGTACAATTGCACCGTCTCTGCTGAATTTCTGGAAAATATTTGTTCCCAGTAAGCCCTGTTACAAGAACCAGAAAGAATAACTATTTTGATTTGGCACCTGAAGAACTTATAACCATAAATTAATCTCAGTTTGTGTGTTTATTTGTTCGCTCTGGATTTTTGAAAGGCAAATGTTTGTTACCATTCTGGCTTGAGCTGTACCTAACTTCTGCTCCAATTTTTTTAAAGCATAGTCTGCAAATTTATTTGTATCAGTTCTCTCTGAAAGTATTTCAGATCACATTCTGTTTAAATGAAAACCAGACTTTTAGAACTAAAACTGCACAAAACATTTTGTGTTTCTTTTATTCTTAATCAAAAGATCAAAATAAACACACAAAAAAGAACCCTGCAGGTTTTCTTAAAAATAGTTGGACAATATGCTTTAAAATTTTTGATGTAAATAATGTTTCTAAAAAGCATAATTGAAAATCAAAGTAAGAGTTTGTATTTGAGAATTTGTTTATTAGCTGACTGAACTTTAGGTTGCATTTTAAAAGCACTGCTTCAGGGTTGTTTATGTAGTTTTCTTCCCTTTACTGCTTGTCTTAATTAACACAAAATATATCTGAGCAAGTACTTGTACTCCTTAAAGCTTCATGTAAGTTGTACTGCAAGCAGAAGATGATCATCAGAGAGATAACGCTTACTGTGTGCTAAATACTTAGAGAGCAACAACATAAAGGCACTGCTAATTAATTACATTAACTGAAGAGACTTTTACTAGTAGATACATGATTATAATTAATATCATTAATAATGTTTCAAATTCCACATACTCTCAATTCACGAAACTTTAGAGTTCCACCAAATGTGTGCAATGTTGCTGCTGTGTCTGCCTGCAAGTTCTTCTTGGTTATCTGTGGCCCTGGTCAGGCACATCTGCAAGATAGAATAGGCAACTTCTCTAAATTAGTTTATAACCTGCAATTGGGCCATAGATGAGATTGCATATAAATGTCTCAGTGTGCTGTGAGCCAGCAGGATGGCTTGAAAACTTCCAATACTGAATCAAGAGTGCTTCTGGTGGGCAGCAGTGGCCCCTGTAAATGGCCAGAGCGGTGTTGACATCATTGTTGTGCCAAGGGGCAGTCCTTCATGATCACATCTGTAGCAGTCTTCTGAGGAAGAGAACACATACTTGCAGACAAGGTAGTTAGGGGAAAAAAAACTCAGTGCAGTGTATGTTCAAGCCTTGTGCCACAAAACTGTACTTCCCATGGAGGGAAGTACTCTGCTCCATAACAGAAATACCATAGGCTGTCTGGTGCCTGCCATCTTGTAATAAGAAAAATGAATGCATTTTATGCATTCACAGTACGATTTAAAAAAAAAAAATGTCAAAAAGGCAAAGCACATATTCTCTTAACAGCCTGAAACTCTCCCGGATTTTATTTCCGACAGAGTAAGTCTGTTGCCAAAGCCATCTCTTCTAAATGGTCTGTCAATGATCTGTCAGACTGTTCCCTTTGATTAGGGAATACATTGCAGTCAGATGGAAGGTTTTCTGCACAACACAGAGAATCATGCTAACTGTGCTACTGCTTGCCGAATATTTATGCTATTAGCTATAACTTCAGGCAAAGTTTTAAAACATCTGAGACCATATTTCTGGATAATAAGACTGAGATTTTTTTTAATGCTTTTTTTTTTATATTAAAGTGGGCATAATTTTTTTAATGCATTTTTAGCATGGCTTGGATTCTTTATCATAGAATTTGTCTTCATGAGGAACATATCAAAGCTTGGAAATTGTAAAATAATATTACTAGAAATGACAGTGTAGATAGCTAAAAATGTGAGAGCATTTTGTTTTGAATGAAAGATCTGAATGTCACTAAATTCCATGCAATCCATTTTTTAAGGGTGAGCCCCTCCTTGTTGAATGGATTTTTAGCTGTTGTTCCATGGAATATAAGCTTAATATCCAGTATATCCTATATGAGGGAACTGTAGCCTTTTCAAGAGGATGAGCTCAATAATTTGTTCTTTTTTAATCTCTAACTATGATGATCCTGCTTAAAAGCAGATGACTGACTTTCCATTCTGTAGCTATTCTACTATGTGGGAGAAAATCCCCTGTAATTAAATCTAATAAAATCCTCTAATTCCCAATATAAACATTTCTCTGACACAGACAATTCTCCTGAGTCTACATCACAGCCCAAGGAAAACAAAGAACAGGAGCTGTTTTTTACTTCCTTTTAAATATTTGATCATTATGGACAAACTTCTGCCCTGATTAACAGTAGCTGAAAGCCTTACTCAAAGTAATTATTTTTGAGACAGAATTTGGATTACTGATTTTTCTCTCACTTGTAATGTTGCTTTGCATAATGGCTAAACTAGCATGTAATTTAGGCTGTGTAAACAACAAGACAATAGTTGTCTGAATTGTTCTACAACATGTAGTGTTGTATTTTTCATTTTGTACTAGAAACAAAAGCACATAAATCCTGCTTGACAGGATCTGAGATTGAAAGTGCACTGGCAAAAGAAGAGCTATGTGCCTTATTAAGCAAATGTACCAAAACTGAGGCAACAGCTTACAAGTATGAATTAGAGGAATATTATTAATACTTTTCAGTGATGCAGTACTAATTCCAAGGACATTGCAACGTCTATCTCCGTTTGTGGTTTGGGTTAATGGAGTGTGTTGACAAAACCCCTTGTCCAACAGTAAATTGTGAGCCAGACAGAGCTTTGGGTACATGCCCAGCCCTTTAGCTACCTGCAGGATCGTGCTGCTTTCCTCATACCTAGGAGCTTTGAGACGACGCCACCAGAGAGCACTGTGCTATTTCTGCTTGTCTTCCTTACCTGTATCTGTGTGTTTAAGGACCTGTTTTATTCAGTCTTTTTTCCTGTGATACAGGATACAGAACTCAAGTGGTTGTTGTGATTCTACTGGAATTCCCAAACATGCTGTCGTTGTCCTGTGTGCACCCTTGTGCAGCCCTTCCTTGACCTGACTAACCTCATCTGGGACCTTCACCCCATTCACGGCCCAGAAATCTCTTTTAAGCTCAGACCCAGTCCTGGGGTCCTTTGTGTGAGCAATGTTGTTGAGGTGCTGGCCTGCATTCTTGTCTCTTGGGTGGACATGAGACCTGTTCTGTGATTGTCTGGGGCAACCCCTTCTCAGAGCAGCCAGTCCTCTCTACACCTTGACATTCCTTAACTGGCCCATGATCTGGAATAGCTGCTGCTGAAAATCGATCGTGACATCTGCCTACACAACTATCTTGTTTCTGATATTCCTGACATATTTATCCAAAAGCATAATTCACTTTTTTAAAAAAAAGTATTTCACTTTTTAAAAAAAATCATGTAATTCTATATTGCAAAAGGATAAAGTCTGTGTCAGAAAAGGGGAGGCAATAAACGGCTTATTTATTGGGAGAATATTTTGCTTAACGTCACCTTGTTTTCTCTGAAATTTCCTCTGACTTTCTGAATTTATAGCTTTGTCATTGTGGATTGGATTCTTGTATTAAAGTACTTCTGAACTGAAAAAGAAATCCATCCTCCTTAATTACAATGCAATTGAAAAGCTAAATTGATTTAAAATATTGGAAAACAGCAACTTTATCTCCAAACAGAGCTCAAACAGAGCTTTTTCATTTTTGTTGAAATGTTCTCCAGGTCAAAGTAGCACCTTAATATTTTTAAGTTTAGTCACAGAATTGAGTTATGGATACCTCTTAATAATATGATAGGATATATAATAAATGTTCTTTAGCCATTGCTAAAGAACATTTAGCAATGTTTATTATTAGCATAATTTTAAAGAGATCTCACAGTAGCCCTGTCAGTAGCTTTATAGAGGCGTGTAATAAAACCAACCACATAAGTATCCCAACAGAACAAAAATCAAATATGTGGCTGCAGGAATTTCTAGACAAGGAGGAAAAACTCCTAAATTAAAAGTACTTCAGTGGAAGCTGTCCCCATGAATAAGTTGTTCAACCCTGCTTACAGGAGGAAATGTTGAGGCACCACAACAGAATTCCAGACCTGTCTCCGAGCAGAAATTCTTCTGTGGTTTTCCACAGCACCTGCCTTTCTTCCTATTTGTGTGGCATTGCAGAAACTGCTGCAAGAAATGGAGTAGACTTTCATGGTGTGTATTTGAATAAGTAATGCACTATGGTAGATGTCAAAGTAGCTCTGTTGTTATTAAAGAATTTGTTTTCTTGCTCTGTCATTATGGGCAAGCCATATTACTTGGGTGTGCCTCTGTTGCTTTCCCAACCTATTAACTTTATATTCACTGTAAAAAAAAACAGAAGGAAAAAAAATAACCAAAAAGCTGTTTAAGCTGTCACCTAGTTTATACTCTGGAGAACTGGGGAATCTTAGGTGACAGTGAAATACTTTAAGCTGTTTGTTTTGCTGACCGGCTGACTTGCTATTTAATTTCTGATGTTCTAATTTCCTCTCAAAGTCATCATCCTTCCCCATCACTTTGGCAGTATTTTTCCAATCCACCTGGATGTGTATAAATCTTATGACCATCCCCATTAGTCCCTGATCTTTTGTCCCAGGGTAATAGTCTCATTGTGAGATTGAAACTTTTGTTATTGCTAATCCCCAAATGCTTTCAGCAGCACTTTTTAAGGAGAAAACACAAAAGCTGTTTTCCATCTTGGTGTTTTATTTTTTGTTAACACATGACAAAACAGGTTTATTATCAATCAGACAGGCAGCATGTAGCATTGCTAGACAGAAAAACACTTCCTTAGTCTTGGCCTCTTATGTACTGGTGAATAAAAAGCTCCTTTTTCTCAAACTGTGTCTGATTTAGATTAACAATACAGTGAAAAGAAGTTTAGAACCTGCTTGGGACTTCCTTGGCTACAGGCAAAAGAAAGTAAGCTGACAGAACTAGAGTTGCACTTTTCCACTCCTTACTATCAACTTGCATATTGAAAGGGCTGAGAAAAAAGGGAAGGTCTTGGCAGTGGGGATTTACAACTCTTCTGTTTCACCACTCACTGGCACATTGACCGCAGTCTGGTACTCTGAGAAGTCTCCTGAAGGCATCCAAGGTATTGGGGTTCTGTTGAAGGAGGGTCTTTTGCTGAAATTTTGATTATATATCATGAGAGATTCTGGGAGCAGAGGGCAGATATCAAACTGAGGCACTTTGAAGGTCATCCGTTTGGCTGCTTTTTCAAAACCCCCATAAGGCATGGCAGTCCTGGCATAGGGGAATGCATGGAGTTAGCAGAGCATAGGTAAACAACAGGATTTATAAAAGAAATAGTCAAAGTTATCAAGATTCTAAATTGTGCTACTGTTACAGTTGGCCAACAGATCCTTCATGAGAACATAGATGTATCCATTGCCCATGTACTAAAAATTATGTAAACACACACCTATGCTGCTGTGCACTTCCTTCACCCTTATTGCATCAATCTCCATCAAACCAAACACCTTTTACACATGGGGTTAGTTTTCTGTACATGTAGCAGGCAGAGGCTGCATTACTGCAGAAATGAGTGGGATGTGGGTTTGTTCTTGGTACTGATGACCTGAGGCTATGGAGGTGGGTGGCAAAATTGTAGAGAGAGGTTAACAAAAAATTGTTGCTGACCTAGAAATATTTGTAAAACTTTCAGTGTTTATCAGAAACAGCAGAAACATTCTGATTTGTATATGAAGTGCTGTGAAATATGTGGTTGCTGATCATAAGTGTTTTTCATGACCTCTTGAACTTCAAAGGGTTGCATAAAAAAACAGTGACAAGCTACATCTCCTGGTCAAATGGGGAAAGAGAGGCAAATAGGATTAAAGTCCTGTTATCCAACTGCAGAGGTTTTCTGTGCCTAATCTGAATTAAATTCTCTAGCTCTTAACGTATTTTGTCTTTGTAGTCTTCCAAAGTAGTCTTCCAAACATTTCATCTACTGGAGACTATGCTAAGTAAAATGAAGTGCAGCTAAAACTTGTTTACAGTGCACAAGGCAGGAGGGCTATGGTCAGCATTGTTGTGTTTTCTCTTGCTAAATAAACTGCATTGAATATCTAAGAAGACTTACCGGTTAAAAGACTTGTAGTGGGGGAAATCAGCTTTGGGGCTGTATGACAGTAAGTCCGTGGAGAACTGACTTTTGTCCTCAGGGCTGATACCCATCGCTCGTTCCCAAGGGGAAATGTAAGTTTTAAATATAGTAACTTTTTTGCCTCCTGACTTCCCATCTGTAAACAGAGAAAGGTACAGCAGTCTAGTTAGATGGCACTCTGACTGCATTGTGCTTCTGTATTCTGCTACTGAAGTTGAGGCACCAGCTTTGTTTCCAGATTCTGTAACTCCTACATCAATACAAGCTTTTATGGTTAGATTTCTGTTTTAAAAAGATGATCATACATCACTTCTGTTCTTACCCACAAAAGCAGATAGTACCATAGTCTAACAGCCGCTCATCCAGGAATTTGCATTAAAACATATATTTGGAATTTTTCATTCTTCTTTTTGGTTGCTCATACAGAACAAACCACAGTCCTCACCTCATCATCTCTTCCACTAACAGGAGGGAAGCTTTATATGAGGAAAAATGCAAATAATTTCTTCATTTACTTTTCTTTATTTTCTGTCAGATCATAGCAGACATGACACAGCATTTTCTTTGTGATTACATGAACAGACATTCATCTTTTTTCCCTTCTGAACTGGGATGTTAGAGACAAGTCTGTCTCAATCACCTCAGGATGGCTAAAAGCAGTTTGCAAATATTATGTGGTATCTCACTTGAAGTTAAAATCCTATCAGTGACTAGAGCTGCACTTTGTTGTAAAGTCAGACACTTGATTGCTAGAAATTTTAGATTAGCTTCTAGCTGCTCCATTAGGCAAATGAGTTTAGACAAGGGATTTCATTCTGCATTTCCCTTCCCTTCCCTTCCCTTCCCTTCCCTTCCCTTCCCTTCCCTAGCTGTGTGTAATACCACCTTGCTAGTAAGAGCATAAGTTTTGTATTGATATGTAGCACACTTATAATATTTTCATCCTTCATAAACCTTAAAACTCCTGAGCAATGACATCTGCTTAGATTGATTAGGGTAGATGAGAATAATAGATTAATGGAGAGAGACACTCTGGTGCTTTCTTGGTGCTACATTTTGTGTGGAAAACAAATCCTCATGAAGTAAGTGGCAAAGAATGAACACTATTATCTGAATCTTTCTTCTTTATCACACCTCCTTTGTCTGTCTTGCTCATTTCAAACCATGCCAAGTCCTGGGCTTCCATGCTTTCAGAGAACTGCAGACATTTACAAGAATCTCATTTTCATTTAAAAAAATAAATACAACTGTTCCCCCATTTTTTGTGAAGTATTTAAGCTAAGCTGTTTACCAGCAAATTGATTGCTAGAGTTGAAACATAAAAGCAGCTGGGATCTGTCTCTGCAGTGAAAGCTACAGGATGATATTAATCCTCCTTCTCCCTGAACACACGATAACAATGAAGAAAAATTTCCTGTAAAAAAACTATAAGAGTCTATACAGATTGCTTTTTTCACAGGAAATGTAAAAGCTGGTTTTGATATAAAATGCACATTATTCCAGAACATAAATGAAAAAACTTGGATTTTACAAGTCATTCATTTGGTTACTCAAGGCAGTTATTCCTGGTTCCCAAGCAAATTTGATTTCTTTTTTAATTTTTTTTTTTTTTTTTTGGTAAAAACCTGTAGGGACTGTTAAATTTATGATATCATCTGCTGATTCTTATACTAGCTACTTGTTTCTAGAGATTTCTGGCCAAACTAGACAGAAGATAAAATCAGGCAAAGACTAAATTGAATTAAAACTACTTTTACTCATAAAGATATTGCCTCAGTGGCCCAGTGGTGGTTACCAGATAACTTTTAGAAATATTGCTGTTCCTTTCTGGAGATTATCCAAAAACTGTTCTTTGTTTCAGTAGAAGCTTTGATTTGAAATCAGGGCTCAGATATTCAAGTCTGATACTCAGATCAGACTACTGATCTAAAGAGTTAATACCAGTCTCTCCAGTATTGGTCTGTGTGAAACCCTTGAAAGGAAGGAGTGCCACACTGTCATGACATAGCTGTAATGGCCTACTGCTCTACCAGCCTCAGAGCTCAGCACATAAGTTACCTGTAAATTCTGTTGTCCTGTCAAGGAATGTATTTCTGCCTCCTGCCTGTGGTTGAGCAACATAGAAGCATACAAACAAAACCATCAAACTAAAAGCAGTTCAACTCTTCTAGGCATTACACTGGAACTTTGTTTGGAAGAATCCAGGTGTTAGATTAATTTGCTTTTCCTTAAGAGTAGGCTTGGCATGTGGTCTGATAGCTTTAGTTTCTTATTCTTGCAGAGAGACACTTGCCTTTGTCAGTACCATTGCCTCCTTCTCCACCACTTCCAGATGATTTCCCTGCATGCTCCCCTTCACCATCTCCAGCACCTCCTCTGCTTCCAGGCCTGGGAGGGACCCCAGGCTGCTGCTGCATACTGGAGCCGTGCTGCCCAGCTGCCATTCCTCCTACCATCCGCCCATGGGCATAGCCATGACCATCTTCCCCATAACTCCCTCCTGGTGGGATGAACTTCTGAAAGTGATCCTAGAGGAGGAGAAAAGAGTGTGGTTGAATCTCTGTTACAGGACATGGTGTATTCGTGTTTGTAGGGCTGGGTCCCAGAATGTGAACTCCTGAGTCTCTGGGATCTGACCAGTTCTGTGTCTCTGTTACAAAGCCAGTGGCAGAACTTCATGTGAGTTATTCCCTTTATTCAGTATAGCAGCAGCTGTGGAACAGCAGAAGTGGCAATGGAAGCACATTTACTTCATAGTCATTTTATGTGATCAGGGTGTTGTTGTCCCCAACAATGATGGCTATGAAATAGAGGAGGAGGGGAAAGGAAATTTAGCTTTTGCCAGAGCAGGTAGAAGTCCAAACAGAGATAACATTGCTAACCTGTGGGAAAGCAAGCTGGGCAAGAAAGTGTTTTCATGTCAAAGTTAACATAACCCCAGCTCAATTATAGTGTGGGAATTAAGTGTTACAGGCCACCAGAACAGCAAGGTATCTGTGACAACACAAAAGCCAGGGAGATACCTGCCTTTTTGCCTGTTTTCTGTATGTATGAAAGTCTGCATGGGGAGGAGTATTTACATGTTGAGAAAAACTGAAGAAATAGCAGCCTGGGAAAACAGAAAATACTTTTTGGAGACCACAAGAAGGAAATGACAAAAAGGAAGAATTTTGTTTGTAGCAGTATGTGAATTACCAAACCAAATCTAACCAGTGACAGGGTAAGAAAGAAAGAAAGAAAGTTGTATCCATCAATAAAATTAGGTTGGTCTTATTTGCAGACCATTCACTCTTCCTTGGTCAGGCTAGAAGGCACAATCTCTGCAGTATGCAGTAAAAGAGCAAACAATTTATGCAGGATTTATTGACTTCATGGTGTACATTTTGGCACAATATCCTGTCTTTGCACATGAAAACTTTCATAAATGCTTGTGTGGAATACAAACTGATACAGTATGTTTAGAAAAATGTTTCACATATTGTTCATAAGTGACATCAAAACTTGACTCCTATCAGACTTTAAATGTATCTCTTGTGTAGTGCAGCCCACACAGCTATATGATACAAGTAACCTGGGTTACATATCACATATAGTCTTTCCTGTTGGACTAGGAGATTGGCTATTAGATGCACAAAGATGCAACAAATACACATGAATGAACTGAATGAATCTCTGGTTACTCATACTGCGAGTCTACCTGTATAAATTAATCTCAGGCAGCCTGAGAGATGGCTCTCAAAGGGTTAAGGCTTTCTCAGGGCTCTTACACCTAGCACAGTTTAGCAAAAAGAAGCTTTCCAGGCTGTAAACAGGCTTCCAAGGCCAGCTGTTCAGTCAGCTAAAAATAGTCAAGAAGTGAAAACCCCACAAGGCTCAAGGCAGAATTAGCAAACCCTCTGCTCCCTGTGTCTCCCACAACAGTGTCCAGGGTTTCACAGCAGGTCACCAGGCTGCAACCCAGGCAGGCAGCCAGCTGCAGGCTGAAGTGGCAGAGCTAGTGCCCCCAGGGCCTTTAGGGACTGTCTGTCCTTCTCCTAGCTGCAGGGAATTCCCTTTTTAGGAACACAGGAGATAATGTTCCCGTGAATGTCAGGAAGCACTGAGAGGGGAGAGGATTGTGAGCATTAAGCTGTACACAGGAGCTAACTGGGCAATCTGCTCAATTATGCGTGGCAGCTATGTAGCTGTAAAAAGGCAAACTGAAAAAGGGTATTTTGAGAGTTATGGGTCAGAATGAGGTTATTTTCATAATGTTAATATATATGCAAGGCAATGCTTCTACTGATTTGCTCACTACTTTCAAAACAGAACTTGTATCTGTTTTCCTTCAAGTTTCACCCATGCTGTGTGCCCTTTCTGAGAATTAAATGCTTATGTCTCCTTTCCTGTGGTTACTTACATGCCTCTCCTGCAAGAGCAAAAAAAGTCACAAAGCATCAGCATAGCATGAGCTGCAGTAAAATGGACTGTTCTGTTTCTGCTCACAGCAGTATTTGATGTGACTAGGGAGCAGCATCATTGTCATCTGGTGTTATTTTAAATTGCAGTATTATCGCTAAGTAGGAATGAAGTTTCTCTGGAACAGAAGGTCTGTATCAGGAAAGCCACTCCTAAATCTTACTTAGCTGCAAATTAAATTAGTTTGATTTGCCTTAAGCTAGTTCATCATTCTTCATGGGCCTGCTGAGAAAACATCTGATCTGCCAAAAGCAGATAGGAAAGACATATTTTCCATGCAACACCCCAGTTTACTCACCTGCTAGAACAAAAATATAATTTTCTTTAGTTTTGGTCACTACAATTGTTTGTCTTAGCTTAAATTAACATGAAGCAAAGGGAAAATAATCTTTTTGAAAGATTTTACAAGACAGTGAAGCTCAGGAATGACAGCCTCAAGCAGGAGTCTCAACACAGTCAAAGCTGCATAGGTACAGCTTTGTCTCCAGTACTTGGAGCACATCTCTGGTCAAAGTTTTAGAGTGGAGTTTTAGAGTTTTGGAGCTCACACTTGAGGAGAATGCATGACTTGGGCCACTGATAACAGCATGTGGAACTTCTACATGTATGCATATTCACATCATAAAACCAGCCTCTCAGTTAGTATTGATTGACTGTGTTGGTGGGAGTTCCAGGAGAGAAGTCCAAGAATGCCAGCTGAGATGGCTGACAGCCTTCTCCTGTTGGCTTTGGGGACAGATCACAAGGCTATTCTGGAACCTGTCTGTGCATTGTTGGAGGTAGTGGATATTATCGGTCCCAGGGCGTCCCTAAATCCACTCTAGTAAGAGAACACTTGTTGCAAGTTCATGTGATGGGTCCCCTGGGTTGGCTAAACAAATTGGGCTCATGTCTTTGAAATCATTAGTGCTAGCAAGTGCCTGCTCTTCCCGGCTGAGTGCTTAGATGGACAAATTCTGAATTCTCTAGAGCATGTGCCTAATAAAAACTAGATAATGAAAGATGATCCAACTAATGGAGCTGAGATCTCTATGTATCTCAAACCCTGACGTCACTGCAGGCAGTCCCCAGGAGAGACACTGTGTGCTCCCCTTCAGCTCCTTGCTGTGCCCTAAGGAAAATGATTGAGGCCACCAAATGTGTTTCTATTTCCACCTCACTGATAAAGAGCTCCCCAAATGTTTGATGCCTATGTAGTTACTAACACTTCTGAAGTTACTGGACTGCATCGTCTCCGTGGCAGCCACTCAAATGCTCCTTAATGGTTGGATGGGAGATTTAAAATTCAGACACTTGGAGAGTCTCAGAGACTGCCTGCTGTTTTTATCAAAGCGTGGGCCTCAGTCCTTCATTTGGAATTGCATAGCCTTAAACCTATGACTCATTTTTTAAAAAAGGGTGAAAATAAGAAGCTGTAGAAGCATCTTATATTTTTTTTAAACTTGCTACCCTGAGAGGAACAGTAGATTGAGCCTCTGCTTTCTATTTCCAGTTCCATTTCTGACTTGCTGTGTAATCTTAGACAAAATACTTTTTGCCTCTGTGCCTGAATTTACCCATCTAAATAACAGGAATTTTTATCTAATGCTACCCAAAATTAGATATATCTTATTTGTATATTTTATATCATCTTTGCCACATTTTCTTCGTGGATGAGAGAAATTGTGTTTCAGAATTTTGGTCCAGAGTTTTCTCACAGTGCTCCAAAAAATTGTTGTGGAAAATAAAAGGCTCTTTTTTTCTGTTACTCTGCTTTTTCCACACCAGTCACTTCTTGAATAAGAATGCATTGGCCTCCATGTTCACTCTTACACAGCTTTGGGTATAGTGGGGCCTCTAGGTCTTCTGCACCAATCCAGCTCCAGTGCAGCAAGGCTCATTTGATAAAGTTACAATCTCACTCAGCTTGCTCCACTTAGTTCATAACCTGAGAATTGTATCTTAGCCTGCAATTATCCTGTAATGTTTGTTCAAGAAGCTTAACAGTCCATGCAGAACAGAACTAGAAAAAAATATTTTCCTAACATTTCCCCTTTAACCTTACCTCCACTGATCTGGAATGACATTCATCTAGGTACATTAAGGGTCATACAGAGCCAGCACTGCATGCTGTGTAATAAACCAAGCAGCTGCATGATAACCTTTCTCCATCGTTGTTTTCCTTCAGACTGTATCATGCCTGGCTATTCATCATGTAAGATCTCTGAGGCAGGTTGGTGGTGTACTGCTGTCTGCTGTGAAGCATCACTTTTGGTTTGTAACATAATCACTTCCATTTTCTTCCTGCTACTTCTTCCTGCTCTGAGTTCTTGTCCAGCACTGAAAAGAGTACTGAGTAACTCCTGCCATTATCCAGAAGAGCAGTAATCCAATTCTTTAGACTTCTTAGATTTTGTTTCACAGTTGGTATCAGCTTAAAAGAGACCTCTTGACCTGAAGTCCAGCGGAAATTGCCAACACATTTTAGTTTGTTTTCATACAAGCTCTGCCATGACTGGAAACTGCATTTATTTTAACTTGTGGATGAGTGTAAGAAAGCACCAAGGTGGGGGTTTTGGTTGTGGGTCAATGTGGTTTCTGAGGTACTACTGCTCATAATTGTCTATTTAGATATTGGTTAATTTACTTTCCTAATTGTTTTAAGATCTGATAATAAAACATAAAAAGGAAGGGGGTAAAAGGAAGGTCTCCTACATGTAACCCAAATCAAGCCACAGGTTTTGACTAGCAGAAGGACCATATTTAAGGATTCTTACTGGAAGAAAGAGTAATGGCAGCATCCGAGACACATAACTGTGGCTTTGTTTTCAGTTTCCTCTTAATGTTTGCCAGCCAAGAGTTAGAAAGTTTGCACTTGATGACAGCAAGCTCTTACACTGAGGTTCAAAAGCAGAGGTGGGATGTTGAAAGGAGTTAGGGAAATAATGAGTAAGGCTGCAGGGCTAAGAAATACTGTTTCACATGATCTTAATGTGTTTGGGGCCAAACAAATTTAGCATTATGAAGGAAAGGTCTGTGAACTGCTATCTATTAACTGCTGAACAGTGAAGTGGAATTTAGAAGATCCAAAGACAAGACTGAGACCCTATCTGTGCTTTTGGGTGACTCATTAATCTACCCCATGTTTCAGTTTCACTGTTAAAAAATAAATGTAGTGATTTCCCTCATTCTCTAGTTGGCTGGAGGATACAGTAATAGAGCACACAGCAAGATAGGGTTTCATCATGGCCTTTAGTCAGTAATAAATTCTATCTTGCAGCTCCACAATGAAGTTGAAAATATCCTCTGAGACATGGAGAGAATCACGGTTCCCATGAGTGGCACAGCCTGGGGTGAGGAGAAGAAATCCTACATCTGGTTTACTAGAGAGGGCCCAGCTTTTCCAGCGCAGCACCAAACAAGGAGGATGTTGCCCACATTCTCCCTATTTGGCAGGATATTGGTGTCAGACTCACCCCTCCCTAAAACCTTCCCCTTGTACTGTATATTTGCAAGCAAAGAGAGTCACAGTATTGAAAACAGCTCTACAGTAGGTAGTGCATTTCATTTTACTCATGTTAAGAATGGTCAGTCCTTTTGTTTAAACTGGGGATTTAGCTACCATTTGTCTTTAACTGGATGGGTAGAGCTGCAGCAGTGACAGAGTGTCAGGTTTTCACTTTTTCATGGAGCAGTCTGACATTCATGTGCACACAGTATATACGTTTCCTCTGCTACAAGTAAGGAGAGTGATCTGATTGTCCAGTGTGGATTTTTGGCTGGAGGAGAGAAGCAGAAGGGTGGGTCAATGACATATGACTGCTGAGATCGTCTCCCTTGTGTGGAAGGTTTATGGCTACAGCACAGGCTATTCTGGAACCCCTTATATGGTTTGGATTTATTTTTAATAACCTTTCTCTTTGTGTGTTTTTATATTACATTATCTTGCTTGTAAACTTCTTTTGTGGGAAAGAAACAGTCCATACTCCATTCCAGACCTGCCTTGCCCTGCTTTCTTAGGTGTGTCCTGAGAATATTTTAAGACAAGACAGTTAAGAAATCTGTGATATAAAAACAGAAAACACACCACCAGCTTCAAATTCCTTCTTTGTCCCACAGCCTCAAAGACACAAGAACTTCTTTGGGATGGGGAGCAAAGGACATGGGAAGTTAGTTGGGAGAGGGAAGTAACTGGGTGTAGCAGTAGGACTTCTTACTCTGCCATTATCTTCCTCACACAGTTATCTTTTTTTTAAGCTTTCTTTTCTGCATCTGCCTTTGAGCAGATAGACCAGCAAGAAAGGAAAAGAAAAGAAAGCAAATCAGATACTGCAATCAAAAGGGCTTTTTGATGAGAGTTATTTGGTGCTAAGGTCAGGCACTGTCCTGATGGTTTGGAAGATAACAGGCCACAGATCTGTGACCTTTACCTGCTCAAGAGCACTCAGGTCTCTGAGACAATGACTCAGTTGCTGTGATTGCTCAGCTTCTCTTAATGGTCCGACTGCAGCAAAGCTGCTCGCTCGTGCTGCCTGTGGCAATGAGAATAGTTACCTGCAAAGGCAGTGGATGCAAGCAGTGAGCTCGTGAAGCAGCCAGAAAACAGTAACAATTATCTTTTGGTCCTGCTAAACTGACCCCAAGCGAGGGCTGTAGGGCAGCCCAAAGTGTTCCTGCACTGACCCATGGAGTTTTGTTATCTGTTGTCTCTCCATGGATGTGGAGAGAATACCTGTAAGCAAATCATGGAGGATTTTAAGCAGAATGCCAGCTGGCTTGGAAACTATGCCATGGTTCTCCTACAGCAAAGCAAAAAAGAAAATCCTAGCTTTTTAGAGTATTTTCTAACCCCCAACTACATTTCCCCATGGCACAGGATCTTAACAGTCATGCTGAAAGATCTTGGGAGCAGATGTGTTCTTACAAAAGAGAGATCCACTACAGAAAGGATATGGAGTGAAAGTCAGGCACAGATTAATAAACAAAGTAGGAAAAAGCTGCTAACAAAAGAGAAGCAATTGTCATCAACATTTGTAATGTTAGTCATGAAGGGTCTATGCATGTCCAGTCTTGAGTCATTTTGTCACAACTTTTTTGTTTTGGATTGTTCTGATTGGACATTCTTTAGTGACACCCTCAAATTTTTGACACTTTGGACTCTAGCCTTTTTATTCCATCAATGTATTATTTTCTCACTTCTCACTACAGCAGATGAACTTGGCCCTCATGTTTTAGGAACTCTGAGATTGCTGAGTATTTGTAAAAACAGCATGAATTTCTCTAGGATATTGATCTGTGGAGTCTGAAGTTCAATATAGCATTCATTCTCACATTCCTTCTAGGAGACAATTCACTGAAGAAATTAACTACCTAAAGCACAAAGAGATGAAGAAACTGACCCAAATTTAACATCACGGGATGTGCTTGTTGTAACTCTGGTCTGTCATCCCTCATCTGTAATCTTACTGTTTAATTTTAACTTTTATTTGTTAGGCATCTTTCCACATTCTGATTTTCAAGGTGTCATTTCTAGAAGTGAATTGCAGATATTTTCTTACTGCTGCTTTTGAAAACATCTGAGTGCTATAAGCTATTGTGTTTTTGTTTGTCAAAACATTTTCTTCAGCTTAACTTTTATTGCTTTCCTTCAGTTTCCTTGGACTGGAAAATAGATGCCATAAAGGGATAAAATTAAGCTGGTCATCAAACCAACTTTAAAGAACATCAGAAGATGAGGTGGTACATCAAAATGCATATGAACCCTAAACATTTTCTATTTGTTTTACTGAATTCTGATAATCATGTGAATAGATTTTTATTTGTAAAAGTTTAGGTGTCTTCAAAAGACTTTACACCTGCAACTAGCTATAGAAAGGAGTTTAAATAACAGTACTAATGCAGGGGAAAGGGAAAAGAAAATTAATGTCAGTATGTATATACCATATCTGAAAGGAAAATGTTTTAGAGGAAAACAAACTGGGCTTCTAGCAAATTCACTGAAAATATTTCAGAGTCAGGTTAGACTTGTGGGAAGCTCACTTGTGGAACTTGCAGATATTAGCAGAGGACTCTGTCCAGCAGAAAGCATAAAAGTATCCTAGACTAAAAATAGCACTGGTCTACTGGAGCTGGATGGATCATTGCCATCATGCAAAGAAGACATGGAATGGGTACAAAACCAATTAGCCCTGCCCTGAGTTCTGAACACTTGCCAAACATGCAGCCTTCCTTCATCACTCAGTATTGAATTTTGTCATGCTTCTGTATATGTAATACCAAATATTTGCCAGAGGAGACTAATGCTGCTGCCAAAAGGAAATAAAACTTGTGTATTTATGTAATTTTGTTTTCTTCTTTCACTGCTTTGCTAGTAGACCCTCCCTACCCCCTGCCCACACACATTAAAACAGAAGAGAGCTTGGGCACACTCCATTCCTGTTTTCCCTGAGTGTATGGAGTAGCATTTTAGTCTTAATCTTCAACTTACCACAGAATTGTCAGTGAAGGCATCAGGGTTATTCTCATAAATGAACTTCTCCACTCTTAGCTGACGTAATTTGAACATCTTGGATCCTTTGTTAGTGAGGAGAGAAAGCTCTTCTAGCATCACATCTCTGGGGATGCTGATCTTCTTCCCCAGGTTCAGCTTGGACACCTCTTGTGGCATAGCTACAAAACATGTATAGTGGGATACTTTAGGAAGTACTCTGGTCTATGTCTTTTTTCTGTTGCTTCCTAGCATCAGTAGTGACTTCAAGCACCCAGATTATCTTCTAAATTAAGATTTTAAGACATTATCTATGAACCAAGTTTTTACATTGATGACACTTTGGATATAGATCTTTGGTATTTACTCTGAACTGTTATCAAGGCAAATCTGCAGACAGAAGTTGCATAGGGGTGGAGCTACATGGGTGTCTGTCATATCTGAAACATCTCAGTCAGTGCAGCAGGATTTCTTGGTACAGCCTCAAATGACTACTTTTCCAAACCTCTAAAACCTTCCTCATGCTGTCAAAAGTAAAGAAAGGATAAGGACATCACACTTATTTAAAAGTTACCCTATCCAGTACACACGTATTCTGTAGAAAGAAAAATGTTAGTTCCAGGTTATATTCTTCCTGCTCTATTAACTTCTCTAAGAGATTTTGTCTTTTTCAGCTAATGAGTGCTGGAATCAAAGAAGCTCTCTCACAAAGAGAGAAAACAAGTATGAAACAAAGGTTGTAAGAGAGAGAACAATATAAAATATATCTAGGCACTGCAATATTGACACCTGTAAAATATCATGTTTTCTGTCCATTTACACTGGTGTGCATCCAAATTAATGCTGCAGGAGAATACAAGTTTTCAGAGTGCAATCTCAGTCGATTTTTGGCCTGAGTGTGTGCAATACTTTTCAGCTGTAAGATAGAAAACGTGACATGGTTGAAGGCTGGGCGTCAGTAAAATTTGTGGCTCTGCCTCCTGGTATGCTCACTGCATGTCTTGCTTTGGGAGTTCAGTTAGATAAGGTGTGAAATTTTAAAGGCTGAAATTCAAGCTGAAATCCAAACAGTTCTTACATGTGCAGTTTTGCATATCTTACCTTCATGTGTCAGCTTCCCAATGAGTTTAGTGGACTTTTTCCTTTTAACAGGAGCAGGAGTCCCTGCAAGGGGCATTCCCACAAAGGGTTCTCTGCTTTGCTCTAAACACACAAGGAAATGGAGAATGAAACACTGGAAATGTATTTCTTGCCTCTCTTTTAGTTGCCATCTACAGGTAAAAGATACACAGCCTTCCTTTCACACACAGGTTCTTTTCTATCCCTTCCCCATGACAGAGCCAGTGGAAGGTATCATCCCATACAGGATATCATCAGCAGGCCATTCTGGGGTTCTCTGGAGACTCAGCACTCTGACAAAATATGGTAGCAGATCCCAGCAGAAGCTTTGCCAAGGTGACCTATAGCACTGTCATCCAAAAGAGGCAATTTAATTGCAACAAGGCTGTCTCCCAGAATCCACATGTGCTGTAGGGATACTCTGTTATCATCTTGTGCTGCAGTAATAGGATGTCGCTTGGAAAATTTTCTCTATGATGCAATGTTATAACAACATGCAGTTATCATTAGATGGTAATATATACTTTTGGATAAAGATTTCAGGTCTGTCCATGGGTTATTTGGAGCATTTTGCATCATGTGTGGTTCTGGTTTGGATATTTCGATAGTCCTTTTAGAATGGGAATTCAGAAAGTCACCAGACTGCAAGTTTGGAAGGAAAAAAAAAAGAAACAAAGCAAAATTCTAAGCATTTCTGTCTTTTATGACTGCTACTGTTTGTTACAGAAGGGCTGGAGGAGGAAGGCACAGGAAAACCTGTTAAAGTTGTTCACCCAATTTTTTTGAAGTCAGTTGCATCTGTATCTTATGTATTGATCTTATCTGATACCATTTTGAAGGGGGAAAGAGGAGAAGAGGGAGATTTCTTCTGGTACAGTGTTCCCCATCTCTGTCCCCAGATAGGATGAGAGATCTGAACTGCAAAATCAGGGAAAATCAGGAGCAATCTCAGCAATTCCGTTTCAGGCAGCTTTTGAGAGTCCTTCTTGGGGGTTATTACACATAATGTAAGTAGAACAAATGTCTTGCCTTCACTTCAGCACTGTCCATGCCCAAACAACAGCATACAGGGCACAGATCCCCACCTAATATAATGCAATACAATACAAAGAAAAATGGGCAAACACCCATTGACTTCAGCTGCAGCAATAACTACCACCTCTGTCCTTGTGATTCTTTGTACTTTAGTTGCTTAAGATTTCACAACTGAAAAACTTTGAACTATGAGTTATATTTTAAAACTAGCAAGCAGACAGCTGTAACTGGAAGTTTGTATACTCTCTTCTGATCAAGACATTTTTATCTCCTGTGTATTCTGAAGTATCATTCCACCATTACTTCTTTTGCAACATAATTTTATGTGATGGAGTTGTGATAACTGTTAAAAGAAGCCCAGCCACAGCAAAACAGTGCCAATCACATTGGCAGATACTTCCTTAGATTAGCTTTTCTTTCAGATTTGCAAGTTTTTCCTTTTACTGAGATGCTGCCTGTGTAGTTCACATCATAAACGAGCCCATCCTGGGGTATTCCCAAAGCAAGTGTGAGCAGGTGCAGCCATGATGCACACGCTGCACATTCTCTTTAAGCAGCCAGACATCTGCTTGGCTGTATAAAAGAAGCAGGCCCTGCTTGACAGGAAAGGGACAATGCTGCCAGGAAACAGCAGAGGTGAGAGGTTATGGCCCATCTGATGGGTTCTAGAACGCACAAAACACAGAGAAATCATCTGTATGCCACAAGCATGGATTTCCTGGGGCAAGGCAGAAAGGAACAGACACGGTAGAAAGCTGTGCTCCTCACACTAATTCCCAAGCAGCAATGAGGACAAGTCTATCCCATTCTTTACTAATCCAGCAGGACTGAAGATTGAAAAACCCACTGCATGCAATTGGTCTAGCATAAGTGTCTCACTATGAACAGGGTCCAGAGTTACACAATACTACTGCTCTCTCAGCTCTCCCAGAAGCTGCTGGAGCCTCAAACCCCATTCTCCTCACTGTGTCATACACAAAGCCAGGGCTTTTCTCCCTCAGCTCTGTCCCATTGTTCAATTCCTCTGTCTTTTTGTGCACTGATCTTTGCAGCAGTCATTGGTGCTGCAAGCCAAACCAGTCTTTACTTCTCCAGCACCTGCACTACTTTGCTGCCCAGTCAACTCACCTCAGGTTTGCAGTGCCAGCCTCAGACCAGCTCACACACCTGCCCCAGAGCTCAGCAGTGCTCCTTCCTCCCAGCCTGTCTCTGGGTGCTGCCTGGGGGGGCTTGTCCAGCAGCCCCACTCTCCCAGGGTGCCTGGGTGCAGGGAAGCTCTGCCCAGCACAAAGTGCTGATGCAAAGTGCTGTGAATTTGACTCCTGAAGGCTGCTCGCACAGGCATCCTGCGGTTATTAATAGCCAAAGGCCCAGAGGGCAGAGTCTCAGATAGCACTGCTGCCATCCCTGAGGAGAGCAAAAGAAAAGGTTGCACCTCAGGTCTCCTGCAGTCACTGTCTCAATGTCCAGGAAGGCACTCCATAGGCAGCTCATGTCTTCCTCCTCTTTATTCAAACAAACATGCAGTTCCTTTTCCTCCTCTTATTGCTTCTTGATGCAGTTCATAAAACCTTCTCAATGTCCTGTTTGTCAGTAATGCCTCAAAAGCTATCTTGGGTCTTGCTCTGTATTACCCCCTCCTTCTGCCCCTTCTTAATCATTCATCCCAGTGTCCTCTAGGCTGTCATACATACTTCCTAAAATGCTTCAGAAAATACAGAAGCAAAATAATGGTATGCATGAAACAAGAAGTAGTAGGAAAAAACACAAAGTCTAGAAAGCTATTTACAGAATTCTAGGAAGTAGGTATTTAGTACGTATGGCAAACCCAACTGAACCAAAGAGCAAGGAAATTAATTTCCTGATTAATGACAGAAATAGGGTTGATAGCCTGCATTTGGTGCAGCTTTGTACATTCAAATAACTCACCTTAATTGCTGTTCATGAGTTGACTCTCCCTCTTTTTCCTGCCTGCCCAACCAGGTTCTGGTTTTAGGATGAAGAAAACATATCTTATTTTACTGGAGTACTCAAAGATGAACATACCTTTCAGTTTCTGAATAAGGCAAAAAATCCTCCAGAAAACATTGTCTTACTATTTCACATTGGAAGATTGAATCCCTACTGGATCAAATTCAAGTTGTCCATTGAATAATCCTAGAGTCTAGTGAGGAGAAAAAAACCCAAAACACAGTTGTGATTATAGTAGAAAATCATTTGCACAGAGAATTGCCAGCAAAGTTGATATAAAGAAACATCAGGAGACAGCCACTTTCCTTTTTCCCTACACTTTGCTGTTGGTTTTTCCTGCACCAAATGCATATAAAACTTTGCAGTGTGATAAGTGAGTTGAAAGCACTATGTGTTAATCCCCAGTACTGTTAAGAAGGTCCTGTAGAAGCCTGCTGTAACATTCCTGTATTTCCTATGGGCAATAGGAAAACAGCTTTTGTATCCTGCTTGGAATTAGGGCACATATGGCATTCTCTTGGCCTAAAGTTTCCCATTTTCCTCTTGCTTGCATCCATATAACCACGATGTATACCTTGCATTGTGCCTATTTCACAGCTCTGATTCTCCCTCATTTATATCTACTGTAACAGCATGATGTACAGTTTCCACTGCCCACAAGAGCGCTGCATCCTTCACTGAGCTGGGATGAGACACCAGAGTAATGTCCAGCCTAGATCCTGCCCTCACACTCACATGCCAGTGATTCAGGAACAAATCCCTGGAGCAGTTCCAGTGTAAAATAAGCACAATTAAACTGTAAACACCCACTGCCTGCTCTGGGCACCATCACAGAGCTTCATGCCTGGTGAAGGCATTTACATCTGCACAAAGCTGGAGGGTGTCAAATGCTACTGTCACAGCTGACCATCTGTCCACACATCACACCCACTCTGCACAAGTGCAGGTGGCCCTAGAGGAGTGGGTCTCTTGGTGCTGCCAAGCCCTGCTCACTGCAGATTGTACAAGGAGGAGTGTTTTTCTCACCCTGTTAATTCTGGATTGGTTTAGCACCGTGCTTGACTTTTGGCCAGAGTGCCCAGTGTCTGCTGTAATGTCCGGTTGTGCTCCGTGAGATGCTGCTCTCCTATTCAAATTCCTGTGCTCTGAACACTCATTCATCATTTATCAAGGGAGACACTGCCTGCCACAAGGTGCTGGCATATGGGGGGACAGAGTGAGAGCAAACACAGTGTGCTGCTTTATTGTTTAAAATCAGAGCCCTTTGCCTCTCCTTCCCAAAGGCGTGAGGTAGAGTTACATCTAAATTTAAGAAGTTTCTAGTTCCATTTTGATAATCATCTGAGAAATTAATGTGATTTATATCATCAGGTGAGAAGTCGAGAAATGCAGCTACCATTATATGGCACCTTTTTGCAGTAACTAGGCTGATGCTAAACTCTTCCTCTTCTATACTTGCTTCCAGCAGCTGTTTTCAGGCCACTCTGTGGCTGTTGTTTTATTTCTCCAGTCCTCTCCTGGGCCTTCCTGAGCACAAATTACACCTTAGGGGAACAGTTTGTGCCAGCTGGATATCATGTGGGAACCTGATGGGTTTTGAGGCATGGTGTAGCTCCAAAAGATGATGTAGCAGGGAAGTATGTGATTGCTCTTCTCTGTCACATGACCTGGTGCCCCTCTGCTTCCTCCCACCCCAGGCAGCTGCAGAGAGAGAAGCTGAGCATGCTGCAGGGAGCAGAGTGCCCCATGGTAATTGGAAGTGAGCAGGAAATAGATGAGATCCCTCTTACAGAACTCAAGAGAGACTAGGGAAAAGCAATAGCAAGATGAAGAGAAGGCATGTCTAGCATGGTGTGTCGGGATCTCAGTCAGACTGTGAGCAGGCATGCCCTGCAATTAGGACCAGGAACAAGGCACTGATAGTTCAGGGTGAGCCAACTCCAGGAGACAAGAGTCTGCTGTGGATCCCCAGCCCAAAGGGCAAGAGGTAAGCAGGGTCAGGGTCAAGGCCAAGGATGCTGAAGTCCAAATTTAATGAGTGATGGGAACTATGGTCTGATGGGAACAAAACATTTGTTTGCCTAGTCAAGGTCTCATGTGAGAAGTATATATATACCAGGCGAGAAATGGGACCTAAGAGTGCATCTGGAAGGAACTGAATGGAGCCTGAGCCCTGAACCTATTAGTATGGCACCAGGATTTATAGGGTGATTTCTATAAAGCACTCTTGTGTCTGACACTTAAGCACCAAGACACACCTTAAACTGAGATTCTCACCTCCTACTCTACTTCAAATAAAATTATATGTCTTTATTTTCAGTTGCCACACTGAGATCTAAATCCTGCTCATTTCTCCTTTCTGTGCACAGTTTCTCCTGAGACATAGGAATGTCTAGTTCACAAGTCTATAAATGTCAATTGTGGGTCTAGCAGAGACTTCACTTGTGTCCTGCCACGGTGCCAGGTTCAGGAGGTCAATGGCTTTTTTGCACTGGAATATTGTACCAATCTTCTATCCCCACTAAAAATAATGCAATGAACTCAGAAGAAGGTATCTGTTATCTTACTGTTGTCTTACCCATTCATACTAGTCAGTGCTAAGGGTTTTTAATCACTACAAGCTGTGCTTGAGGTGGTTTTGTTCTGTTTAAGGTGGAAGGGTTTACCTGGACTGTGGTGTGGTTTGGTGGCCAAATTCAATCCTTGCTTAAGTACATGTATTTTCCATTAATGCCAGTGGGGTAGTATATGTGCTGCCTGTAGGACTTTTCACCACTTCAGAGAGTTTATAATCATACAAGAAACTGTCCTTTTCTCACTGTGACCACCTTTCTCTTCCCAAATATACCTTTTGTTTAAGTGACCTGAGGAACAGCCTAAACCAAGCTTTGCTTCCTCTGACATGTATCTTCAAATTTAATTTATATTCGCTCTACATTCTTGCACACCTAATTTCAAATGGTCTAACATCAAGTTGTCAATGCCTACAAACTTATTTAAAGAGTAGCATATGAAATCTGCCTTATTATACTGCTAGATGGACACAAGCAGTACTTCAGTGAAGCATCAGCAGCAGAGCTGTGTCCAGAGCACATTTTGATCATGTAGAAGTCAGGAAAACAGCATCAGTCTTCACCACTTTAATTTTTCCAAGATGGAGGATTAAACCTTGCCCTTGCTCTTTTTCCCTGATGCCCAGGACTGATCTTTGTTGAAAGTATTCATAAACAGCAGATTGCAACATGATTCAACCTGTTCTGAAAAAAAAATTGCAAAACTCTTGATTTGGCGCTTTTTTCCTGGTTATTTTTATGGTGATGATGATGATGATGAAATAAATATAATTTTTGTTAGTGTAAAATATTTCATGTGTTCTTAACCTGTTCCAGTTTACACAGACATCAGAGAGATCTGTAGCACTAAAATAGGAGAAATAGTGAATGCCAGGCTCTTTTGTGCCACTGAGTGGGCTTAATGCACGATAAGACATAGGACTGGGACAGAAACACGTAGGATTTGACCACAGAGCTGGAGTGTTTGTGGAAATAGCTGCTGTTCCCGTGGTGTGTTACTTGCTGGGCAGCCTGTTTGTCTGCATGACCCAGGAATCCCCTCCAAGCTGCAGCAAACCCCTCGCTGCCAAAACTCTGTGGTATGAGCCTGACCTTCTCCTGTGGTATGTGGGACTGAGCAACACCATATGTGAACGTCAAAAGAGGATAGATTAGGAAGAAAGGACTTCCTAAGATTTTAAACCCTCTAGACTTAACACCACATCAGGCGAATGCCAAAGGCCCAGGTAACTCAGAGCAGAGCAGCGGCAACATCTAGTGGCCGTTGAAGCTATAGGTCTGAACTGTCCGGGAATAAATAGCCTTGTCTTTCCTGTATGCCACGTGCTTCCCTGCTGTGCTCTTTGCTGCACATTCTCCTTCCATCGGGTGGGGTTGTTTGGGGGTAGACATCTCCGCTAGACACCTTGCTATTTTCTGGTTTTAAACTTCTCCCTAAGATGGGTACTGAGGGCCAGGTTAATCCCTGGGCTGCTGCATAGCTGTTTAGTAATCCTTTGGCTTGGCAGCCTCCCGTTGCACCTTTCAAAGTCTGTTTGTCTGGCTCCCTCTGACATGATCTGCTCTGAGAGGAAATGACTCTCACTTGAGAAGGTTGCAGAGGTTAACAGGGAATTTAATTAAGAGCCCTAGATACAGCAGCCGTCCTGCAATGTGTCAAACCATCTGGAGCAGCTCATAATCCTACTATGTCAGATTTATTAAGCAAAACAAGATGCAGTCCTAATCTGCAGCCTGTGCATCTGTATACTCAGTTTTCTGGGAGCTGTGCCTCTGGTT